AATACCGGATTCCATGAACTCATTTATTTCTTTCAGTACTCGAGATTCATATTCAGCTGGTGGAATGGTTGCCATGTTGGGTTTTCTTCAAATTACAGAGGGCCAGCTGTTCGAACTCAAAATACGTAAAGGAATTTAATTTGGGTAATGAGAGACAGCAAATTATGACCACATTGTTGTTACGCATAAGCATGTAAATACTATATTTTGGTCTTATCAAGTTGGCTGGAATGGAAGTCCACCATCAAGCTGATCAGCAAGCATGCGCATTATCTTTTGGGGGCTTTAACACATGTGAAAGGAAAATGACGACTGCATTAATATTTAACTAGTTAGCATTTTTGACGCTGTCATTGATATGAATATACTTTGTAGTGCATGATTGAAGAATATAACATTTTATTTTGGGGGGTAATTTTGGAGTATAACTTAATGGTTAGAAGTTTAGTTCTTTTCTACTAGTCCATAGGGATAATTCTTATAAAAAATGGTGTCATGTAGTTGATATTTTACTGAATTGTATAACATAACACTTATTATTGATGGAGTGAGCTCTGACATTGGGGGTTGTTTCCCCATTCATTAGAGTCATATAAGTGTAACTGCAAAAACTCCTTTAAAGAAGCTAGAATTTACAACTATATGTAAATTTTGCTTCTAGAAAGCCAGAAATGCTTTCCAAAAAACCCAATATGGTGTACTTAAGTTTCTGCAATGAGAAGCTGTTCCAAGAACTAGGCCAAATGAAATGAGTATTTAAAGCTCTGAAACGCCTTGGTGTTATGCATTATAAATTTATAATTGCAAACAGGAATAACTCAAGCCGTAGAGAGCATCAGGAACATACCATTACTCAAATTATCTCAAAGCAAAATGAAACTTACTGTATAACATGAGATACAGCCTGGATTTAACTAATCATTTTCTTAGCAATTTCACTTTCTTGTTGGAGAGTATCATACAAAGTCTCGACAAGATTCAACAAGAATGAATCCGAACCATGTCTGGCCAGCAAAGAGATTGACACAGGAAGGTTATCGTGCATACCTAAAGGTATGCTCACCTGTAAATAGGATCCACATGTTAAAACTTACTCAACACAAGAAAAATGTAAGATTTTTGA